GTAGTAGCACTGGCAGTGTACACAGCTGGAAGGGGGCGGAGTGTGTGGGGTGGGAGGCGGCCTCTGTCTATTTGTAGACGTGGCTGAGCCAAGCTGTGCCTGCAGCATAGAGAGGAGCACAGCTGTCTGTACATCCTCCATGTGGCCGATCATACAATCACACTGCTCTGCGTACAATCGATAGTCGAAAATGATCAATTGCATCTCTGTTTCCACTATGCACCCTCATCATCTGATCGATCCAAATACATGCTGCCGATCAATACAAACGATTGATCATCCCCCCTTCCCCCTTTCCCGATCGACTCAAATCCTGCTGAAATCAATCAGAAGGAAAGTGATGGCCATTAGATTTCTTAGATTTCCCCCGACTGGTGATCCTGCCAGAAGCAGACTTCCTGTCCTAGGGTGACAACGCTCGCTCACTGTGCTGTATAGGTGGAGCAAGGTTGTCACCCTGGTACAGGACTACAGATCACCTCCTATCCTATCAGATTCAGTCGCTGTTTGACAGCGCCATCGTATTGTACCAGGTGACAGCCATTCCGACAGATTTAGCCCAATCGAATCTTCCAATACCTCTGTACCCCCCAGTAATTTGAGGTCCACAGGCTTCCTGGCCAGCACCACCATCTTCTTCTAGGTTGGGGGTCTTTGGCCATCTTGACATTCAAGCCAGGATGATGCAACTCCTGCACACGGCAGCTCATGCATCGAGATGTGCTGAGAATGTACACCAAGCACCACATTCTCTCATCAGGTTCAACATTTTCATTCAGCGAATTAGAAAAATACCACATGATGGCCACTAGATGGAGCTAACACTCATAAGAAATAAATCCTTATTTCCTGTGATCATCAGCTCCATCTAGTGGCCATCATGCTGTATTTTCCGGATTCACTCTATGAAGAACATTCGACCCGGGGAGATAATAGCCCAAATACGTTCACCTTTGCTTCGTTTACAAACAACGAATGTGCATGCGGTTTCACTGGGCGAATAACTCAGCGGGCAAAAAAATTAATAGTTGTGTTTTTTGTTTTTTTTATTATTTATAAATATTATTATTATTATACAGGATTTATATAGCGCCAAACGTTTGCTCAGCGCTTTACAATATAACGGGAGACAATACAGTTCAATACAAGAGGGATAGGAGGGCCTGATCCTGGGAGCTTACAATCTAGGAGATACACCCCTTTGATCAATTTTATTCCATTTTTTTTTTTTTTTGTAGAAAAAAAAAGAAAATGGATCGATTTTTTTTTCCATATATTAAAGAGTGGAAGCTGAACTCCAGGAAAGCAGGTGAAAAACAAATGCCACAAAAAAAAAGCCCGGAGAGGCATGTCAGTCTTGTTCGGCATATTGTAACCGGGCTGTTTTTGTGGCATAGATGCAGTAAAGGCTTCTTAAGAACAACTCGACCATGCAGCTCATTTTTGTTCAAGTGTCATCATATTGTGTTCTTTGAAACTACCACACTGTCTTTTTTTTCCAGAGCAGCCTGTATATCTCCTAAGGTGACCTGTGGGGTTTTCTTTGTATCCGGAACAATTCTTCTGGCAGTTGTGGCTGCAATCTTTCTTGGTCTACCTGACCTTGGCTTGGTATCAAGATCCCTGAATTTTCCACTTCTTAATAAGTGATTTAACAGTACTGATTGGCATATTCAAAGCTTAGGACATCTTTTTATGTCCTTTTTCCATCTTTATAAAGTTCCATTACCTTGTTACGCAGGACTTTTGACAGTTCTTTTCTGCTCCCCATGGCTCAGTATCTAGCCAGCTCAGTGCTTCCATGTGAGAACTAACCAGCTCATTTATACACAGACACTAATTGCAATTTAAAAAGACAGAGATGTGGAAAATGAACCTTTAACCACTTGTTCACCGCGTTATAGCTACAACACGGTCTTCATATGAGGTCCTCCCGCAGTGGTGTGCACCCGGTGCTGTTTGTGGCTGCTATGTCCTTTGAGCTCAGCTGATCACATGACACGGTGAAGGGCCAGTCACAGCGGCCTTTTACCACATGATCAGCTGTGTCCAATCACGATGTAAGCACACTTGTCACAGAATGAGGAAGGTACTGCCAATAACCAGCAACTGTTAAAGGAGACGTTTACACTGATAATCAAGGCACTGATTAACAGCGCCTTGATTATCAGTGCAGCCCCAAAAGTGCCCAGCAGTGCTGCAAATCTGTGGCCAGCAGTGCTGCCAATCCGTTCCTGTTAGTGCCGCCAGTCAATGCCACCTATCAATGCCGCCTGTTAGTGCCTCCAGTTAGTGCTGCCTATCAGTGCCCTTCAGTGCTGCATATCAGTGCAGCCTCATCTGTGCCTCTTCATCGATGCCCTCCAGTGCCGCCTGTCAGTGCACTTCAGTGCTGCATATAAGTGCAGCCTAATCTGTGCCTCTTCTTCAATGCCCACCAGTGCTGCCTATCAGTGCCCTTCAGTGTTGAATATCAGTACAGCCTCATCTGTGCCTCTTCATCAATGCCTTCCAGTGCTGCCTGTCAGTGCACTTCAGTGCTGCATATAAGTGCAGCCTTATTTGTACCTCTTCATCAACGTCCACCAGTGTTGCCTCATCAGTGCCGCCTATAAGTGCCCTTCAGTGCTGCCTCATCAGTGCCGCCAATCAGTGCCCTTCAGTACTGCATATAAGTGCAGCCTAATCTGTGCCTCTTCTTCGATGCCCACCAGTGCTGCCTATCAGTGCCCTTCAGTGTTGCATATCAGTACAGCCTCATCTGTGCCTCTCCATCAATGCCCACCAGTGTTGCCTCATCAGTGCCCATCAGTGCTGCATTTCAGTGCCGCCTATCAGTGCCCATCAGTGCTGCATTTCAGTGCTGCCTCATCAGTGCCCATCAGTGCTGCATTTCAGTGCTCCTATCAGTGCCCTTCAGTGTTGCATATCAGTGCAGCCTCATCTGTGCCTCTTCTTCAATGCCCACCAGTGCCGCCTATCAGTGCCCTTCAGTGTTGCATATCAGTGCAGCCTCATCTGTGCCTCTTCTTCAATGCCCACCAGTGCCGCCTATCAGTGCCCTTCAGTGTTGCATATCAGTGCAGCCTCATCTGTGCCTCTTCATCAGTGCCCTTCAGTATTACATATCAGTGCCCTTCAGTGTTGCATATCAGTGCCCATCTGTGCAGCCTCATCAATGCACATCAGTGAAGGAGAAAAATTACCTGTTTGAAAAATTTTATAATAGAAACTAAGAAAAATTTTCTTTTTTTTTTTTTCTCAACATTTTTGGTCTTTTTTTTTATTTATTTAGCAAAAGATGTAAAAACCCAGAGGTGAATATATACCACCAAAAGGAAGCTCTATTTGTGTCAACAAAATGATACAAATTTCATATGGGTACAGTGTTGCATGACCGCGCAATTGTCATTCAAAGTGCGACAGCACGGAAAGCTGAAAATTGTCCTGGGCAGGAAGGGGTGAAAGTGCCCGGAAGGCAAGAGGTAATTTGCCATTTAACCCGTGTGTGTCACCTCGTATGCCTGTACCAAGGCCAAACATTCCCGGGGGAGGGAAATTTTTGATCCGAGCCATTTGGGTGATTTCTGTTCTTCTAGAAAGGAGCCAAACAACAAAAGTGATAATAAATGGCTTCATATGATCACTACCCTTAAATAAAACACAGTTTTTTGGCATGATCAGCCATATTTTTCAGTGTCCAATACCAAAATGTCTCGATTTCTGCCAGGGGGATGCAAACTTTTGAGCACAACTGTATCTGGAATCTGCTTCCCATTGCCGGGACTAGTGATGGAGTAGAGTGGTCTGCTAGAATACCAGAGTTAGGAGTGGTAAGCATGTATTAACCTGAATGAGTACGACATCTTCGTATCTCCAGGACGTGTTCAGAACTGTACTAGTCACCATGACTAATCACTGAACATGGAGCTTCCAGCCAGAGGGCCTCCTACAATGATAACATCTCCAGTGACCTCAGAGTTCCTGTGGATGGACAGACATCTCAATCAGTAAATTCGTCAAGAACTGACCTTTGAGATCCCACCCAGGATGATTGAGAGCAGTACACAATTTTGCATTATATCCTATCCAAGGTACTCCTGAACGATTAAACCCACTAGGTGGTGAAACGTGTCTGAGGGACCTCTCATGTGGGTGGAGAGCAGAGCTGACGCCATCTTGCATTACCTGGTTTAGCTTTGGTTACAGTGAGTTGGTGTCCTGTTGCCATCTTTCTGTAGCACATCCAAGGTACTTGTTATGCTACAACCAGGGCCACTTGAAGGGGGGCGGGGGGTACAGCCAGCCTGTACTCTACTGGGCATGGACCCACTGGGTCAGCTGGGGGACCCAGGTTCAGCTGGGGATCAGGATGAATCTAATTGGTAAGGGGTGTCATCCATCAGACTTGTGCTGGATCCACCCCTTTCATTTCGTCAGGTAGGCTGAACGGGGCCCCATGACTTCTAATGGTGGCCCTAAATACAACGGCACCTCCAAGTGTTACAGAAAAATACAACCAAGTGCACTTAGGATGCCAACTCACTGTGACCAAAGCTGAACCAGGTCATGTGAGATGGCTTCAACTCAAGCCCTCCACCTGCAGGAGAGGTCCCTCCAGACGCGTTTTGTCCCATAGCGGGCTTAAAAGTTGAGGCCACAAAGTGGACGGAATATTTTTTTCGAGCAACCAGATTTCTTAATGGTCCATTCATTCCAAAACTGAATGTAAAAACATCCTGTGAATAACATTTGTCCTGTCATCCAACGTTCCTACGATTGTTTGAAGGAATATTTGTAGGAACATTAGTTTGATAATCTAGTAGTGTGTGGCCAGCTTTAGGATATGAGAGGTCGGCACAAAGCCCTCCCACGTTGTGTCAGTATGTGATCACCACAGGTGGCATGTTTATGGTCTCATCTGATGGTTCCAACCGAAATGCACTCAGAAAATACGTATCTAAGGATCTCGCTAATTCTCTTGTCTCTGAACTTCACAGCTACGACAGAGGGATTGCAGTCGCTGGATATGTTGGCATTGGACGTCTCATCACTGGTTTGGACAGAGGGATCCTGGGTATGTGCGTCAATGAGAGGAGAAAGCTAATTGTACCACCACATCTGGGATATGGCAGCATAGGAGTGCGTAAGTACAAAACTTCACAGTCTCCATACAGTCTTGTCACCATTCAAATCACAAAGCCCTAGTACAAGGATAGGAATTGTAATATCAGCCATGTGACTGTAATCAAATCGCATCGAACTCCGGTTAATATAATTATGACTTTTAATGAAAATTTATATCTGTTTTCTGTTAGCTTTGTGAATTGAACCTATGTACTTTTATATTTTACTGTTTTTATGTTCTATGTTATGTGATTGAGAGAAGGATACACATATATATATATATATATATATATATATACACATACACACACTATGTTGCCAAAAGTGGTGTTTCTTGAGCAGGGGCGGACTGACAACTCATGGGGCCCCCGGGCATTATGGGATCATGGGGCCCCTGTGTCCTTGCCCAAACTCAAAAAAGGCTATGAAAAAGGTACCAGGGGCATCTCATGGGGCCCCTCACTGACCCCGGGCCCTAGGGCAGTGCCCGAGTTTCCTAATGGTCAGTCCGCCCCTGTTCTTGAGTAGCTGTGTGGAACACAAAACACATTTGTTAGGATTACATCCTACATTCAACAAGAAGGGCTATTACTATAGCAGAGAAAGCAACTGCTATGGGGCCCAGCACTGTATGGCTACGTAGTGCCTTATTTAAATGACAGGGACAACAGCATTTGGATAAAAAAAACTAAAACAAAAAAAAATAATATAAATTTTTTTAAAAAAAAAAAAAAAACATATATATATATATATATATATATATATATATATATATATATATAGCCAAAAGTATTGGTCGGCCTGCCTTTCCACACGCATGAACTTTTATGGCATCCCAGTCTTAGTCCGTAGGGTTCAATATTGAGTTGGCCCCGCCCTTTGCAGCTATAACAGCTTCAACTCTTCTGGGAAGGCCGTCCACAAGGTTTAGGAGGGTGTCTATGGGAAGGTTTGACCATTCTTCCAGAAGCTCATTTGTGAGGTCAGGCACTGATGTCGGGGGAGGAGGCCTGGCTCACAGTCTCCGCTCTAATTCATCCCAAAGGTGTTCTATGGGGTTGAGGTCAGGACTCTGTGCAGGCCAGTCAAGTTCCTCCACCCCAAACTGGCTCCTCCATGTCTTTATGGACCTTGCTTTGTGCACTGGTGTGCAGTCATGTTGGAACAGGAAGGGGCCATCCCCAAACTGTTCCCACAAAGTTGGGAGCATGAAATTGTCCAAAATGTCTTGGTATACTGATGTCTTAAGAGTTCCCTTCACTGGAACTAGGGGGCCAAGCCCAACCCCTGAAAACCAACCCCACACCATAATCCCCCCCACCAAACTTTACACTTGGCACAATGCAGTCAGGCAAGTACCGTTCTCCTGGCAACCGCCAAACCCTGACACGTCCATTGGATTGCCAGACAGGGAAGCGTGATTGGCCACACCAGAGAACACATCTCCACTGCTCTAGAGTCCAGTGGCGGCGTGCTTTACACCACTACATCCGCCGCTTTGCATTGCACTTGGTGATGTAAGCCTTGGATGCAGCTGCTCGGCCAAGGAAACCCATTCCATGAAGATCGCTACGCACTGTTGTGCTAATCTGAAGGCCACACCAAGTATGGAGGACTGTAGCTATTGACTCTGCAGACAGTTGGTGACTTCTGCGCACTGTGCACTTCAGCATGTGCTGACCCCGCTCTGTCATGTTACGTGGCCTACCACTTGGTGGCTGAATTGCTGTTGTTCCCAGTTGCCTCCACTTTGTTATAATACCACTAACAGCTGAGCGTGGAATATTTAGTAGCCAGGAAATGTCACGGATGGACTTATTGTACAGGTGACAACCTATCACAGGACCACGCTTGGTGTCACTGAGCTCCTGAGAGCGACCCATTCTTTCACCAATGTTTGTAGAAGCAGTCTGCATGCCTAGGTGATGATTTTATACACCTGTGGCCATGGAGGGGATTGGAACGATGCGTTTCGCAAAGCAACGTCTTCAGAAGATATTGTAATTATGCTGGTCAAGTATCTACAGAGAGAGCAATATTATTTTTCACGATGAGACCAATAATGATTTTCATGATCTGGTCTCTTTGTAGATACTTGACCAGCATAATTACAATATCTCCTGAAGACGTTGCTTTGCGAAACGCATCGAGATCCCTGGCATTGCCTGTTCACCCCTGCTTTGCTTAGAATGTTGCTATATAGTACTTCTGTGTATGACACTGCTGACCTAAGTACTATTATATTTTAATGATTTTACATATTATTATGGATGCTTTTTAATCTGTTTCTGAATAAAGATTAGAAGATTTCCTACTAGCTGTTCTTTATGGTGGTGGTGGGAATAATGTGGTGGTGGTGGGAATAATGGGTGAATGAAAGCAAGCGGAGGGCCACATTTGGCCCCGGGGCCTCAGTTTGGAGACCGCTATTTTAGAATTATGGAAAGGTCTTTACAGAGCTCAGAGAAATCTACTTTCCTTTCTGCTTTCAGCTGGGATGATCCCTGCAGATGCCACCCTCTACTTTGACATCATCCTGGTGGATGTCTGGAATAAGAAAGACGACATTCAAATCACAAGTTTGGAAAAGCCCAGCAATTGTAACAGGACTGTGCTGGACTCCGATTTTGTCAGATATCATTATAATGGAACCCTGCTGGATGGAACCTACTTTGATTCAAGGTAACGAGTTTTGGGTTCAGATAACGAATAAAAGCGAAAACATGACAACTTTAGCGTGTTACTGAACCCACAACTGTAACATCAGTCTGTATATGTAGTAAAGCATGCTTGTTATACTCACTGTGGAACCTAAGGGGTTAATCCTCTGACAACCTAATAGAGACTGAATCCGTAGTCGCACTGCACATGCTCAGTTTAGTGTGTATTGCTAGAGAGGGTTTTTTTTTTTTTTTTCTTGGGAGGGTGCATCTGATCAGCACAGGGTCAATCAGTACTGTCCAGACAGAGGTCAGGGGTCCTGCATCATCCTAGAGCAGAAATAAAACCCCTCCTAAAAAGCTTTAACCAGTGCTCTGCTGAAGTCACAAGACTGCTCTAACGGCTGATGAGAAAAAGTATTTAGCAGTTTATATTTACTAATATAATTGCATTTCCATGTTGTGTGTAGGGTCCGGGGAGACCGGATAAAGTGAATGCAGGGTCCGGGGGAGAGCGGATATAGTGAATGCAGGGTCCGGGGGAGAGGAGCGGATATAGTGAATGCAGGGTCGGGGGGGAGAGGAGCGGATATAGTGAATGCAGGGTCCCTGGGAGACCGGATATAGTGAATGCAGGGTCCCGGGGAGACCGGATATAGTGAATGCAGGGTCCCGGGGAGACCGGATATAGTGAATGCAGGTTCCCGGGGAGACCGGATATAGTGAATGCAGGGTCCCGGGGAGACCGGATATAGTGAATGCAGGGTCCCGGGGAGACCGGATATAGTGAATGCAGGGTCCCGGGGAGACCGGATATAGTGAATGCAGGGTCCTGGGAGACCAGATATAGTGAATGAATGCAAGGATACCGGATATAGGGAATGCAGGGTCCTGGGGAGACCGGATATAGGGAATGCAGGGTCCGGGGGAGACCGGATATAGGGAATGCAGGGTCCGGGGAGACCGGATATAGTGAATGCCGGCTCCGGGGGGGAGACCGGATGTAGTGAATGCCGGCTCCGGGGGGAGACCGGATGTAGTGAATGCCGGCTCCGGGGGGAGACCGGATGTAGTGAATGCCGGCTCCGGGGGGAGACCGGATGTAGTGAATGCCGGCTCCGGGAGAGACCGGATGTAGTGAATGCAGGGTCCGGGGTGAATTTGGTATCGGATGTTTTAAGCTCCGGGGGGCAGCTGCTGACCGGATGTAGTGAATTCCTGCTTAATCAGCTAAAAACCGGATGTAGTGAATGCCGGGCGGGGGTAACCGGATGTGTGAATGCCCTATTGAATGCAGGGTCCACCTGGCTCAAAAAAGATCTATTGGCACCACCTGGCTCAAAAAAGATCTATTTTAAAATTGAAGGAGTTGGGTGGAAAGTTGTCAGCAGAACACTGACTGCATCCTAACAGATGCAGTCACTGTTTGGGTATTCAGACAGCTGCAGGTGCTGCGGCTGTTTGTATACAATAGCCGGCAGTGCAGGTTCCCTCACCCATGCTGTTTAACATTGAAGATTCTATTTATTTGTGTTGCCGAATGAGAGAAATCCAAGTGTATATGGCTAGCCTTAATCCCCTAAACCTCGTAATGGATGTGTATCTGTTACATCCAATTATCTAAATCTGTCTGGAAGTCATCGCAAAGCGGGTGCCAGCCCCTGAACGAGATCAACGATAAAGGGTGACTTAAAGTGGTTGTAAACCCTTACATATACTGGCCTCAGGTGATACACAGAGATGAAACACATCCTCCTACGTAAGTTGTACCTGTTTACCTGCAGTCTTCTCTTCCTCCATTCAGTTTGGGTTTACATATGTGTGGGGCCGGTTTACAGTGCGATTTCAAGCCTTGTCTGGTGAGAGCTCGTTCAGGTGCAAATTGTCAAAGTGTATGACGTTGGAAATCGGAAACTGGGCTGAAAATCGTACCTGCTGTGAGCTGGCACCATAGAAAAGGCTTTTGATTCACATGTCATGAGGGTCAGATGCAATTCAAAAGCATCCAGTTTGCATATATGTGAACCGAGGCTCAAAGTGCTGAAATTTAAAGATTCCTGAAAAAAGGGGGGCGGAAACTGAAATGACACACTGCAGAGCTCAGTGAGGAGATCTCTAAGAGCTGATTGGAGAGAAGGGACACACCCTCCTCCACACAGCTCACAGGAACAGAGCTGAGGCTGTCAATCTATTGGAGGTCCCTCCCCTGTCACCATTTTTCTCTTTGTGTCTGGAAAACTTGCCAGAAGGGATTCAGAGGAATGAGGCAGCAGACAGAAATAACACTTAGTGCTCTAGATTGAGACAAGTACACACTATAGAGGGATATGCTTTGTTCATATTTCATGTCTGAGGTTTACAACCACTTTTTAAAGTTCCTGTCCTCAGGATGCTACCGTGGCCTGGCATATGACCAAATAGCCTCTGTAGAGGAGGGTCCATGAACAGAAATCCTCAAAAATCATGTCATATGATTTGCTGCCTCGGCATTCTAGAACAGCAGACTCTACAGCAAAGGTAATAGTTCCAACTGCTCTGTTTTATGAGCAACGATGGGCATGTTCGCTCGAGGTGAACAATCTGACTATAGAATGGTACTTCGTGGGTGGCACTAAAAATCCAGGGAGTGATTTTACATGTTGTCTGGATTAACTATTTATTAAAAAAAATATATATTTTGTAAAAAAACAAACACCTGTAAATGTAATAATAAAAACACTTGAATAATGTCCTGTTTTTCTCTCCCTATAGCTACAGCCGTTCAAGCACATATGACACGTATATTGGGTCTGGATGGCTAATTAAAGGCATGGATAAAGGTCTAGTGGGCATGTGTGCTGGAGAGCTGAGAAAACTCATCATCCCTCCATTTCTAGCCTACGGAGAAAAAGGATATGGTAATTGCAAAGTTACAAAAATAGAAATACTTAATTCGATTTTGTTTTAAAGGATAAGTTCACTTTTAAAAAAAAAAAAATAAATAAAATAAATGCACATTTAAAAAAAAAATCTGCATTTATTATTTTTTCTTAGAAGCCTGCAGAACATTGCATCCATGATCAACAGATCACAGGTGCAATGTCAGGCTCCTGCAGACACACAGTACCACTGTCTGCCCATACCTCCCCTATGAGCAGACAGTTACTGAAGTGCAGGAAGATGAACTATGAGGATCAGAGCTGCTTTTAGAAACCACAGGGCCCCATACAGCCAACCTGACAAGGCCCTTCCAAAAAGAAACCGTTTACCATGCTTCAGTTTATGAATGAACACAGGGAGCGATTGGTACAGGGATACTCATTGTGTTCATTCAGCAAAGGAAGGGCCTGGTAGATGTGACACATTTATCGGACCCTTCCCCTGCTCTGCATCGTGAAGGATCCTATTGTGTGCTTGCAGATGCCGGTGGGAAGGAGAGGAGAGAAGCCGGCAGCACTGAGGGGGGTCCTGGGCAGCAGGGGGAAATGTATGGTGCACAGGGAGGATGATGAGTGCAGCCAGGGGGGCAATTACTGGAACTGATCCCCTGTATGTCTCTCTCTGCAGCAGCTGAAAGCCAGCGGGAGGGAGAGAAGCTTTCAGCTGCTGTGGAGAGAGCCATTCATCAGTTCCAGTAATTGCCTCTCCCCTCCATGCCCATAACTCTCCCTGCCCACATCTGATTCACCCAGATGCCTGGGCCCCCCTGCTGGTCTGGGCCCCGTACAGGACGACTGGTGGTACCCCCTTATCCACAGTCCTGATGAGGATGCTCATCAGTACCTTTTGCAGTTCATTGCGAAGTACAAGCCATCTGCTGTGGTGGCAGATGGGACTTGTAGCTCCTTCATTCACAGATCTGTATGAATGAATGGTGCGGAGTGAGGATCCCCTGCTTGCTGTCATGGGGGGGGAGGGGCACAGTTACATGCTGCAGTCTAAATACAGGTGGAACATGTAACCAAAGGTGAATGCATTATGTACATTACATGGCTTTTTAAACGGGGCCATTTTAATATCATCATGGGCCCCTGGGCAAAGTAATGCACTGGGGCCCTTACCAGCCTGCCCCAATTTATGCACCTACTGTCAAGAATTAAAGTATAAATGGTTGATAGAACCAAACCTATCTTTATTCGTACATTGAATTTATATAATAAGAAAACCTGCCATAAATCAAAGACCAATCAACACAAAGGGCACAGTACAGGGGGAGGGGGATGCAATGTAGGCAGAAGGGCACAGTACAGAGGGAGGGGGATGCAAGGTAGGCAGAAGGGCACAGTACAGGGAGAGGAGGATGCAAGGTAGGCAGAAGGGCACAGTACGGGGGGAGGGGGATGCAAGGTAGGCAGAAGGGCACAGTACAGAGGGAGGGGGATGCAAGGTAGGCAGAAGGGCACAGTACAGGGAGAGGAGGATGCAAGGTAGGCAGAAGGGCACAGTACAGGGGGAGGGGGATGCAAGGTAGGCAGAAGGGCACAGTACAGGGGGAGGGGGATGCAAGGTAGGCAGAAGGGCACAGTACAGGTGGAGGGGGATGCAAGGTAGGCAGAAGGGCACAGTACAGGGGGAGGGGGATGCAATGTAGGCAGAAGGGCACAGTACAGGGGGAGGGGGATGCAAGGTAGGCAGAAGGGCACAGTACAGGGGGAGGGGGATGCAAGGTAGGCAGAAGGGCACAGTACAGGGGGAGGGGGATGCAAGGTAGGCAGAAGGGCACAGTACAGGGAGAGGAGGATGCAAGGTAGGCAGAAGGGCACAGTACAGGGGAGGAGGGGGATGCAAGGTAGGCAGAAGGGCACAGTACAGGGAGAGGAGGATGCAAGGTAGGCAGAAGGGCACAGTACAGGGGGAGGGGGATGCAAGGTAGGCAGAAGGGCACAGTACAGGGGGAGGGGGATGCAAGGTAGGCAGAAGGGAACAGTACAGGGGGAGGGGGGGATGCAAGGTAGGCAGAAGGGCACAGTACAGGGGGAGGGGGATGCAAGGTAGGCAGAAGGGCACAGTACAGGGGAGGGGGATGCAAGGAAGGCAGAAGGGCACAGTACAGGGGGAGGGGGATGCAAGGTAGGCAGAAGGGCACAGTACAGGGGGAGGGGGATGCAAGGAAGGCAGAAGGGCACAGTACAGGGGGAGGGGGATGCAAGGTAGGCAGAAGGGCACAGTACAGGTGGAGGGGGATGCAAGGAAGGCAGAAGGGCACAGTATAGGGGGATGCAAGGAAGGCAGAAGGGCACAGTACAGGGGGAGGGGGATGCAATGTAGGCAGAAGGGCACCACAGTACAGGGGGAGGGGGATGCAATGTAGGCAGAAGGGCACAGTACAGGGGGAGGGGGATGCAAGGTAGGCAGAAGGGCACAGTACAGGTGGAGGGGGATGCAAGGAAGGCAGAAGGGCACAGTATAGGGGGATGCAAGGAAGGCAGAAGGGCACAGTATAGGGGGATGCAAGGAAGGCAGAAGGGCACAGTACAGGGGGATGCAAGGAAGGCAGAAGGGCACAGTACAGGGGAGGGGGATGCAAGGAAGGTAGAAGGGCACAGTACAGGGGAGGGGGATGCAACGTAGGCAGAAGGGCACAGTACAGGGGGAGGGGGATGCAAGGTAGGCAGAAGTGGGCAGAAGGGCACAGTACAAGGGGAGGGGGACGCAATATAGGCAGAAGGGCACAGTACAGGGGGGGGGATGCAAGGTAGGCAGAGGGGTAGAGGGGGAGGGGGATGCAAGGTAGGCAGAAGGGCACAGTACAGGGGGGGGGGCTGCAAGGTAGGCAGAAGGGCACAGTACAGGGGGAGGGGGCTGCAAGGTAGGCAGAAGGGCACAGTACAGGGGCAGTCAGGCGGCACAATACCTGGATCAGGAGGGCACAGAATAGATTCGGAGACACTGTCCAGGCCATCCCAGGACAGCTTGGTAAAAAGCATGACTGTCCCAGCAAATCCAGGACAGTTGGCAAGTATGGTGTAATGCAAGATTATTATGGGGCCCCAATGCACAGGGGTGCCCGTGCATTAACTGCTGCCTGACTGCCCTATAGCAAAACTACTGCTACAGGGCAGCAGGGTTGTACAAAATCACCTACATGTACGTGATTTTGTAGTTCTGGGTAGGGGGCACGCGCGCACCCTACCCGTGCTGCCATTGGCGGCTACAGCTGCCGATTACCGGGTTCCGCCCAGTGATTCCCTGCCAGCACCCGCCGATCGCCGAGTATCACTGACGGGGGAGAGGACTGTGTGTATAAACAATACAGATCTCACCCGTCAGATTGTGCACACTGCTTTGTATGGCTCTGCAGAGCCATACAAAGCAGCGCGCTTACAGAGTAAAGCACACAGTTAACCCTTTGATCTCCCAAGATGTTAACCCCTTCCTGCCATGTGGCATTAGTACAATGTCAGTGCTTTTTATTAGCACTGAACACTGTATTGTTGTCACTGGGGGTGTCAGTGACACCAAGTCAGTTCCCCCCAGTGTCAGAATGCCCGTCATAGTCCCGCTATAAGTCGCTGATTGCCGCCATTACTAGTATGAAACAAAAATACAAATTCCAGTATATATACCACCATTTGTAAACCCTAAAACTTTCACAAACCAAAGTAGTCAGTGTCAGTGCTCTTTTTTTTTTTTTTTTTTAATTTTAAAGCACTGATCACTGTATTAGTGTCACTGGGGATGTCAGTGACACCAAGCATTCCCCCTCCAGTGTCAGAATGTCCACCGCAGTCCCGCTATAAGTTGCTGATCGCCGCCATTACTAGTAAAAATGAATGAAAAAGAAATCCCAGTATAAATACCGCCATTTGTAAACGCTATAACTTTCACATAAACCAATTAATTTACAATATTGGGATTTTTTTTTCTAGCAAAGACATGTCGCAGAATACATTTTGCCCTAAATTTATGAAGAAATTAGCTTTTTTAAAAAACCTTTTTACTGGACAGGTTTTATAGCAAAAAGTAAAAAAATATTTTATTTATTTTTAAATTGTTGGTCTTTTATTGTTTTATAGCGCAAAAAAAATAAAGAGGTGATCAAATACCACCAAAAGAAAGCTCTATTTGTGGGGGAAAAAAGGACATAGATTTCATTTGGGTGCAGCGTTACGTGATCACGCAATCGTCAGTTAAAGTAGCGCAGTGCCGTATCGCAAAAAATGGGCTGGAAGGGGGGTAAATCCTCTGGAGGGCAAGTGGTAAAGACCGCCCTGTTGTTAAACACAATAGTGGGGGCAAAGGGATGATCTCATTAGTGTGCTGATACATCTTCATTGTCCAGTCAGCAGGATGGCGATGGGGGGGGTGAATTGTAGAGCAGACTGTGCTGTTGCTAGAATGGAGGGCCAGGACCTGGCTGTGCTGTCTGGTAGGGGCACCTGGATCAGAAGATTTGTCTGAATGGAATTATTAAAAATTTATTTTGATTGTATACTTATCTCTGTGCCTAGAGGTCAAACGATCGTTCTAAAATGAGTTTGAAAACCTGAAAAGTCAGTTAATTTTCTGTGTTTCTGTTTCCAGGGACAGTCATACCTCCGCATGCCTCTCTGGTCTTTCACGTCCTTCTTATCGACTTTCACAATCCAAAAGACGGGATCACCATACAGAACCAAATCATCCCCCAGCCGTGTAAACGCAAGGCAGTTACAGGAGACTTTGTCCGCTACCATTATAATGGCACCCTGATGGATGGAACATTGTTTGATTCCAGGTAAATCTGTTGTGTATGGAAGCACAATCAAATTATTTTGCACTGCAACCAATGTGTGAATGATTTTATTGGGGTTCTAGGTTTCTTTTATACAGCACAGGAACACAGCAAGGGGGCTCGAAGACTATAGGTCAGCCAAGTCTGAAATCATTCTTATTTATGATTTTACCTAAATTAAACCATAACCATGTAGTGATTCAGCCTACCTAAAAAAAAAAAAAAAAAAAAAAAAAAAAATCAGTTTAATGATATCCAATCAGGTAGGCCCTTACTGTACACCGGTGTTCTACCTTTATTGATCTGTCAGATAAAATCTATAATCTGACCCTTTGTGGCTAGCTTATAACTGAACCCCGTGCACACAAATTTTCAGGTGAATTTCTCAATAGCTGCAAATGATAAAAATCCTCCTTGTGTGCACCAAAACTCTATGCAAGCCCAGATATTAACTTGTAATAATCAGGCATTCTCCCTGTACTGCACATAGTCTTAGCAGAGCTGTGGGAGAGACCCAGAAGGCTCCACACATTAGTCTGATTACAGAAATCTACAAGGGGGAAGGGGGTGGAGACCAGACCAGTCACCCTGCTCAAGGAGAGAGAGCAGCAGTGACTGGTCTTCATTACAGGAAGTTCCTGCACAGAGGTAGATTTTCATGCTAGATTAGTATAGCTTGTGTGATTGTGTAAGGCTTACAAAAACCAAGTAAGATGGTAACATGAGACGAAGCCTGGCTATGCTGTGCAGTGTTTGATGGGTCCCATAGCAAAACCATTAAGGGCCCCCTTGTCTCTTTAACCACCATCTTAAAGGCCATCTCTCTAGACCTGTAGGCTCCTGTATGTTTTTCGTGGTAAAAGTTTCAGGGAGAAAAAAAAAATTATATATATATATTTATACTATAGTGGCAAAAGTATTGGGCCAGCCCTCCAAATCATGTGATTCAGGTGTTCCAATCCCCTCCATGGCCACAGGTGTATACAATCAAGCCCCTAGGCATGCAGACGGCTTCTACAAACATTGGTGAAAGAATGGGTCGCTCTCAGGAGCTCAGTGACTCCCAGCGTGGTCCTGTGATAGGTTGTCACCTGTACAATAAGTCCATCCGTGACATTTCCTGGCTACTAAATATTCCACGCTCAACTGTTAGTGGGATTATAACAAAGTGGAGGCAACTGGGAACAACAGCCACCAAGTGGTAGGCCACGTAACATGACAGAGCGGGGTCAGCGCATGATGATGTGCACAGAAGTCACCAACTGTCTGCAGAGCCAATAGCTAAAGACCTCCATACTTGGTGTGGCCTTCAGATTAGCACAACAACAGTGCGTAGAGAGCTTCATGGAATGGGTTTCCATGGCCGAGCAGCTGCATCTAAGACTTACATCACCAAGTGCAATGCAAAGCGGCGGATGCAGTGGCGTAAAGTATGCCGCCACTGGACTCTAGAGCAGTGGAGACGTGTTCTCTGGTGTGACCAATCATGCTTCTCTGTCTGGCAATCCAATGGACGTGTCTGGGTTTGGCGGTTGCCAGGCGAACGGTACTTGCCTGACTACATTGTGCCAAATGTAAAGTTTGGTGGAGGGGGATTATGGTGTGGGGCTATTTTTCAGGGGTTGGTTTGGCCCCCTAGTTCCAGTGAAGGGAACTCTTAAGGTGTCAGCATACCAAGACATTTTGGACAATTTCATGCTCCCAACTTTGTGGGAACAGTTTGGGGACGGCCCCTTCCTGTTCCAACATGACTGCACACCAGTGCACAACGCAAGGTCCATAAAGACATGGATGAGCGAGTTTGGGGTGGAGGAACTTGACTGGCCTGCACAGAGTCCTGACCTCAACCCCATAGAACACCTTTGGGATGAATTAGAGCGGAGACTGTGATCCAGGCCTCCCCCCGACATCAGTGCCTGACCTCACAAATGTGCTTCTGGAAGAATGGTCAAACCTTCCCATAGACACCCTCCTAAACCTTGTGGACGGCCTTCCCAGAAGAGTTGAAGCTGTTATAGCTGCAAAGGGCGGGGCCAACTCAATATTGAACCCTACGACCTAAGACTGGGATGCCATTAGAGTTCATGTGTGTGGAAAGGCCGGCCGACTGGGCCCCATAGCAGTTGCCTGCTGTGCTGTAGCTATAGTAATATCCCTTCTTGTTGAATGTAGGATGTAACCCTAACAAATGTGTGTTGTGTTCCACACAGCTACTCCAGAAACACCACCTACAACACGTACATCGGAATGGGCTACATTATTTCTGGCATGGATGCTGGCCTGCAGGGTGTTTGTGTGGGAGAGTGGAGGAGAATAGTCATCCCACCACATCTGGGGTATGGAGAGAATGGAGCAGGTAAGTGTCTTTTTACATATCTAATCCGAAGGGTCACGAAAATGATCAGACGTTTTTAGGGGCATTTATAATTACAGCAGTAGCATATTCAATATTCAAACTCATACCTACAGGTAAGCCTATAATAAGTCTTACCTATAGGTACCGGCAAAATTGCGCACATTTTACCGCTGAGGGGATATTCTCATTAGGTGTAGCCAGTGATGTCGCTGTGCATGCACAGAGCACAGCAATGAAAAATCTAATCCTTCTCTATCCAAGACCATGATGAATGATTTACCTCCTGATAGGAGACTACCTTGTTCACATGTCCTCTTCCCAGTGGTAGGTGGTCAGCTTGAGGTTGGCAAGCCTTTGCTTTGATAAATGATCAATTTTCTATTCCAATCAATTTTCTGCCAGTAGGAATCATCGATCTATAGTCAACAACCCATTTAATCGATGGGTAGCCACATGGGGAAGCAAATTTCGGTCGCTATTTAGGACATGATTGTAAAATCATGAATCACATCTGTGCTTCCACCATGTAATTTTAATAGTGCTGGTCAATGCAAAACAATCAATAATGTTCCTTCCTGGCTAATCGTCTCGAATCAGATCGCAAATTGAGTGTAGATTGGATGGGAAGTTATGGCTGTTTGATGGTTTGTGGATTTGATCACTTTGATTGAATTCCACATAAAAAAAAACCTGAAGCATATATGGCCACCATCAAAGGCTCAAACTTCTGTATTGTTTTAAAAAAACAACATGATATAAACTCAAATTTCCCTTCAAGTAATTTTTTTTTTTTTTACTTTTTAGGAAACAGCATTCCTGGATCTTCTGTGTTGATATTTGACGTCCATGTGATAGATTTTCACAATCCCAAGGACTCTGTGGATATAGAGGTGACCTATAAACCAGAGGTGTGCAATGTTACTTCCCAAAAGGGTGACTTCATTAGGTATCACTACAACTGCTCTCTGATGGATGGAACTCTGATCTTCTCCTCGTAAGTACAGCATACCTTCTGCTAACCTCCGGCATGTAGGTGAACTTGGCTTGGAAAATCTGACGCTAATAAATTATTTTTGTGTTCCAGGAATGACTTTGATACCCCCCAACAGATCACCCTGGGAGCAAACAAAGTCATAGATGGTCTGGAGTTGGGACTGACAGGCATGTGTGTTGGAGAGAAAAGATCCGTCACTGTCCCCCCACATCTGGGCCATGGAGAAAGTGGAGGTGAGTGTGATCTACAGGCATAAGGTTGTGCTTCGATCCTGGCAGATCATGTATAGGGGTTGAGGTGATGAAGGGAGGGAACTGCATTCAACCAACCACAATCATATGCCCAACATGGTATTAATAAGTAGGGATAGCTACATGTTGAAAAAAGACTGATGTCCATGTTCACTCCCACAGAACTCCTTCAGCCTGCTTCTGTCCAATTTGTTGCCTGTTTTGCCATACAGGAGGAAAAAAATAAATAAATAAATAAATAAATATATATATATATTAATCTATCTCCAAGACCAAAAAAAGTGTGTGTGTGTGTGTGTGTGTGTGTGTGTATATGTATATGTGTGTGTGTGTGTGTGTGTGTATATATATATATATATATATATATATATATATATATATATATATATATATATATATAATCTCTATCTTTATTTTTTTCACCAAATTGTATGTCTAAAATCACAAATTCCTTGAAAGCGACAGCTCGGAAAGTTTTTTTGTTTTTTTTTCCTCTTTCTGAACCTCCGGCGTTGATGTCTCTTCTGAGGCTTTCTTGCCTTTTGGATATATTAAGTGGTAATCATCTTTAGCTCCTGACAAAGTGGATATAATTCAAGAAACATGTTGAGAACCTGAATCTGTAACTTGTATCGTATCTTGAGCTGTAGCTTTCAAGGCATTTGTAATTTTAGACATACAATTTGGTGTAAAAAATTGTGTATGTACAAATGTATATTTTAAGAGAGTGGTTGTACTGTGCCTTTTTAAAAAATCCCACCATGTCAAATGTCTCTTTAAATTCTAATAATTGGGATGCGGCACCTTTTAGACCAAGAAATTGTGAGTTAAAACTACACCATGCTTTACTTAGAAGTGTTATGGGATTGATCCCTTCTGGGCTGATTACATTTTGTGTAGCTCTGAATTATGTTCTTTACTATGTAGATCAAACCAACAAAACTCGGGTGGCCAGGTTGGGTTGGGGCCCATTCTCCTCCCTTTTTTTTTTTATTCCCCCTTGCCCTTTGCAGCCTTTGTATTTTGTCCATTCCCCTTCAACGAGAAGATTTTGTAGACCTGATCATAAGCCCTTTAAATATAGATGAAAGGTAATATGAAGACCTATCTGTTGGTGAGTATTGTTTGCCGACATGAGCTCATAGCTTTTCCTGGACTATGCAGCTATAATTGGAGTAGCAGATGTGCCATGAATAAATACACCGGAGGAAGGCATCTGTATTATGTCAGCCTCTGTTGTTTGACTTTGTGGACCTGAATGTGTATAGGAGATTTTTAGACACTGTATTGTGTGTGTGTATATGTATGTGTACTATCACTGATCACAGTATTAGTGTCACGGGTGATGTCAGTGGCCGTTAGTTCCCAACCAGTGTCAGTACCATATTGCCAGCTGTACTAGCATAGTCCCACTATAAGTCGCTGATAATGGCCATTAGTGGTGAAAAAATAAATAAATATATATATATATATATATATATATATATATATATATATATATATATTCTCTATTAATCCTGCATTGTACATGGAGGAGGCAAATGTGGCTTGAAGCACCTTAGAGGGGAGGCTTCCCAAGACCGGGAGGACTTCTGGAGAGATGAACAAGGTAAGTATTCCACTACTCCTAGGCAAAAACAAGCATTTAACCCTTGCAGTGTAGTGCAGTTGGACTGCAAGGGTAGTTTTTGTTTTTTTTTTTGCACCTGGAGTTTGACTTTAAGAGGCTTGTACAGTGAGGTTCTTAATGAAAGCTATACTTGCTCTTGCAACTCATATTTTTTTTTTTTTTTTTTATTTCTGCAAATTCTAATTTTTAGCCAGTAGATGGCCCTCTGGGCTAATTTGTGCACATTTTCAAGGCTATGCTTATCTGCTTTGCTGGAAATTGTCTCAAAGCTCAGTTTCTTAAAGTGTACCCAAACCCAGGACCCTGCATTCACTATATCCGGTCTCCCCGGACCCTCCATTCACTCTATCCGGTCTCCCCGGACCCTGCATTCACTCTATCCGGTCTCCCCCGGACCCTGCATTCACTCTATCCGGTCTCCCCCGGACCCTGCATTCACTCTATCCGGTCTCCCCCGGACCCTGCATTCACTCTATCCGGTCTCCCCCGGACCCTGCATTCACTCTATCCGGTCTCCCCCGGACCCTGCATTCACTCTATCCGGTCTCCCCCGGACCCTGCATTCACTCTATCCGGTCTCCCCGGACCCTGCATTCACTAGATCTGGTCTCCCACAGTACACACAACATGGAAATGCAATTATCTTAGTAAATATAAACTGCAAAATACCTTTTCTCATCAGCAGTTAGAGCAGTCTTGTGACTTCTATCAGTGTCCAGCAAAGCACTGGTTTAGCCCGGGTTTACATATATGCGGCTCGGTACATCGCATGTGATTCACACAGAAACCGCACCGCATTCCTGTGCAAACTGCATGCGAATTGTGTGCAGTGCGATTGGAGCCATACATTTTGTATGACTCTAATCGCACCACACCAAAAAGTTGCAGGACTCTTTTTTTTTTTTTTTTGGTCCGCACTAGAATCGGATCGCATGGGTATTCACACCTATGCGATCCGATTCTGCACATTGCACGGTGTTTTGCAGACTGATTTTGGGGTGTTGTTAACATACACACCGGCAGCGGTTTGCAAAAACTGGGTGCGATTCTGATGCAGTGTGGAATTCGCACAGAAAACGCTGCTAATTCTGCACCACATCAGTGTGAACCCAGGCTAAAGCTTGGAGGAGGAGTTTTCATTCTCCTGTAGGAGGATGCAGGACCTCTGTATGGACAGTGCTGATTGGCCCTGTGCTGATCACATTCACTCTCCCAAGAAACCCCCCCCCCCCTCTTTAGCAATACACACCAAACTGAGCATATGCAGAGCGACTCCACACAATGTCTTATCAGAAGATAAGGGGGGGGGGGACACTGGAAGAAGGGGAAGATCAGAAAAGTTGAGATCAAACATCCTTTTTACACAATGTGGAGGATTAACCTCTTAGGTTCCACAGTGAGTATAACCAGCACGCTTTACTGCATATACAGACTGATTTTACTGTTGTGGGTTTAGTAACACTTTAAGTCTGCAATGCTTAGTTTCGTAAGACAAATTTACACACAACTATGATGGAGTCAGAGTAAGTGGCTCATCCCCCTTCGTCTGCATGGCTTTGCCAGACGGTTCAATCAGAGACAGGGCATGTAAAAGCAAACTGCTCTCATTAGAGGACCCAAAGTGCTCTGTGAATCCTTTGTCGTGGGTGCACCCTATAAATGTGTTTCTGAAACAATAATTATTATTATTATTATACAGTATTTATAAAGCGCCAATAGTTCGCTCAGCGCTGTACATTACAAAGGGGGACAGAACATGTGACAGAACAATACCAATACAATGTGATACACGAGGGATTCGAGGGCCCTGCTCTTTGGAGCTTACAATCTAGGAGGGAGGGGATGGTGGTACAGGAGGAGATAGCTGTGGGGGATGGAGTGGTAGGAAGAGTGGAGGAGGTCGGCAAGTTAGCAGGGGGTGGGGTAGGCTTCCCTGAAGAGGTGGGTTTTCAGGGTGCGCCTAAAGGAGAGGAGAGTAGGTGATAATCTGATGGGTTGGGGCAGGGAGTTCCAGAGGATGGGTGACACCCTGGAGAAGTCCTGGAGGCGGGCATGGGAGGAGGAGACCAGGGAACTAGAGAGAAGGAGGTCTTGTGAGGAGCGGAGTGTGCGTGTTGGGTGGTATTTGGATATTACATACAAGGGAGAGGTGCAGCGCTAATTAAATGAATAAATATATATATGCTTAGGTAAACATACAATATAAATCAATCAATAAAAGTGCTATTAAAGTGCAAAACAGTGACTAAAACGGTGACTAAATGATGAATCTAGTCCATAGCGTGCTCAGAATCCAAGAGAGTCCTTAGGAGCTCCAATCCCTGGATTCGTGGATGAGGTGATAAAAGGTAAAAATTGCGCACTCACCAAATGCGCAATTCAAAAGCGCATTAAAAGCTGATATTCCAGGGTCCTCATATGGATCTGGTCAGATCTGGTCACAGAAAGCCCTCCGTCACCTGACAGTGTATACCACACATAGAAGAGGCCGCTCTGCAGATGTAAAGGACTCCCACCTCCGCACAATGTCCTCCTCCACCCTAAGAGAGGCCGTCTGATCACCGCCACCCTGTACAGCCCGGCGCTCCGCTCCCGGAGTTTCCAAACTCCGGGAGCGGAGCGCCGGGCTGTACAGGGTGGCGGTGATCAGACGGCCTCTCTTAGGGTGGAGGAGGACATTGTGCGGAGGTGGGAGTCCTTTACATCTGCAGAGCGGCCTCTTCTATGTGTGGTATACACTGTCAGGTGACGGAGGGCTTTCTGTGACCAGATCTGACCAGATCCATATGAGGACCCTGGAATATCAGCTTTTAATGCGCTTTTGAATTGCGCATTTGGTGAGTGCGCAATTTTTACCTTTTATCACCTCATCCACGAATCCAGGGATTGGAGCTCCTAAGGACTCTCTTGGATTCTGAGCACGCTATGGACTAGATTCATCATTTAGTCACCGTTTTAGTCACTGTTTTGCACTTTAATAGCACTTTTATTGATTGATTTATATTGTATGTTTACCTAAGCATATATATATTTATTCATTTAATTAGCGCTGCACCTCTCCCTTGTATGCAATTTTATTGAGTAGGTTCATATGGTACCTCTTTGGTGTTCAGCTGCTGTTTTCTTATTCATATTTAGTGACCTTATTTAGTGATTTTATTAATTGTTTTAAGCGCTCACTTATTCTGAATATTACGTTTGTATTTGGATATTAGGTCAGTGATGTAGTTCGGGGCAGTATGGTGGACAGCTTTGTACGTCAGTGTTAGGATTTTGAATTTGATCCGTTGCGCACTCGGAAGCCAGTGGAGGGATTGGCAGAGGGGGGGTGGCTGAAACAGAGCGGTTGGAAAGGTGAATGAGTCTGGCAGCCGTATTCAGGATGGACTGAAGCGGGGATAGCCAGCGGCGAGGCAGGCCAGTGAGGAGGGAGTTGCAGTAGTCGAGTCGTGATATGATGAGGGAGTGGATGAGCTGTTTAGTGGTTTCTGGGGTTAGGAACGTGCGGATTTTGGCGATGTTGCGGAGGTGGAGTCTGCATGAGTTTGTTAAAGATTGGACTTGGGGCTGGAAGGATAGGTTGGAGTCCAGAATGACACCAAGTACTCTGGCCTGCGGGGCGGGTTTGATGGTGGCGTTGCTGGATGTGATGGAGAAGTCAATGGGGGGGGGGGGGGGGCGCGGGCTGGGGGGAAGACAAGAAACTCGGTTTTGGAGAGGTTCAGTTTAAGGAAGTGGAGTGACATCCAGTCTGATATGTCGCTCAGTAGGTGTGTGATTCGGGCGGAGACTGAGGGGGTGAGGTGGGGGGTTGAGAGATAGATTTGTGTGTCGTTGGCATAGAGGTGGTAGTTCAAGCCGTGAGAGTGTATGAGTTGGCCAAGAGAGGAGGTGTAGATGGAGAAGGGGCCCGAGGACAGAGCCTTGAGGGACCCCAACAGAGCGGGGGAGTGAGGGGGAGGTGGTAGCATTATAGGTAACGCTTTCCAGAATAATTGTATGTATGATTGACCCAAATGATTGAAGTTTCCTTTATGCACTTTTTTGTCCGTTGCATCTACTTTTCTTGGATCTGTAAATATTCTGTGTTGTTGTAGCTCGCGGAATTCCCCCCAGCGCTGTAATGAAGTTTGATGTAGAGCTGTTCCACAGAGAAGAAGGGGTCCCGGACGGTTACCTATTCATCTGGCTTGGAGAAACTCCAGACAACCTCTTTGAAATAATGGACTTGGACAAGAATGGGGAGGTTCCATTGGAAGAGGTAAGAGGCCAAAGATCCATCTTCTTTATGTAGCAGTAACAATTTCTGCAGTACTTTCCAGAACACCCAGACCATTTCCATCTATTCCTGAGACTGGCAGAGCTTACAATCTAACATCTCCAAACAAAGCTACTGTACACAGACACGATAGCCCGTTTTGGATGGATTCTTACCGATTTTGGTTGTGGGAAGTAATCTAGAGAAAGGAGGCGAGAGCATACACTCACCGACCACTTTATTAGGTACACGTGTTCAACTGCTTGGTAACACAAATTTCTAATCAGCCAATCACATGGCAGCAACTCAACGCATTTAGGCATCTAGACGTGGTGAAGACGACTTGCTGAAGTTCAAACTGAGCATCAGAATGGGGAAGAAAGGGGATTTAAGTGACTTTGAACGTGGCATGGTTGTTGGTGCCAGACAGGCTGGTCTGAGTATTTCAAAACTGCTGATCTACCGGGATTTTCACACACAACCATCTCTAGGGTTTACAGAGAGCGGCAGTTGTTGATGTCAGAGGAGAATGCTTGTTGATGCTCGGTTTGAACTCCAGAAAGTTGTCTTCAGCACGTCTAGATGCCTAAATGCATTGAGTTGCTGCCATGTGATTGGCTGATGTAGAAATTTGTGTTACCAAGCAATTGAACAGGTGAACCTAATAAGGTGGCCGGTGAGTGCACAAACTCCATGCAAATAGTGTCCCTGGTGAGATTGGAAGGCAGGAATCCAGCTCTGTATGAAATCACTGTACTGCAATTTAGTTTTGTGTAAATAATAAAAGCCTATAGCATCCTTGCTCATTCCACACAAAGAAATGGATTTTCTAAATCCTCCCTACTAGACCAATGTTGTATTAAGAAAAAAAAAGTTCCTGTCATGTCCATGGAATAGTGTGCACATATTACATGTACAGGAAGGATGGTGTGGAATAGATAAAACGCATCACTGTCTACAGAGTAGAGTGGTGTTCAGTATAATGTACAGCACAGAATAGTGTGGAGCATATAATATACATGGTGGAGTATGTAACGTTCAACACAGTGTACAGAGCAGGACAGCACTGAGGGTATTACATACCACATAGTGTGGAGCATATACCATACAAGGTGGAGTATATAAAGTACATCACAGTGTACAGAGCAGGATAGCACTGAGTATATATTACATACCACACAGAATAGTGTGGAGCATATAATGTACAAGGTGGAATATATAACTTACAGCAGAGTGTGTAAAGCGGGTAGCAATGAGTATATTATGTGGAGCATATAATGTACAGGGTGGAGAATATAAAGTGCAACACAGTGTACAAGAATAGTGTGTAACATAAAATGTACAGTATATTGCACATGGTGGCGAATATAAAGTACAACACTGTGTATAAAGCAGGGTAGCATTGAGTATATTACATACAGCACAGAATAGTGTGGAGTATAAACCATACAAGGTGGAGCATATAAAGTACAGCACAGTGTACAGAGCAGGGTAACACTGAGTATATGCTCCACACTATTCTGTGCTGCATGTAATATACTCAGTGCTACCCTGCTCTGTACACTATTCTGTGCTGCATGTAATATACTCAGTGCTACCTGCTCTGTACACTGTGCTGTACTTTATATGCTCTACACTATTCTGTGCTGCATGTAATATACTCAGTGCTACCCTGCTCTGTACACTGTGCTGTACTTTATATTACATGCAGCACAGAATAGTGTAGAGCATATAAAGTACAGCAGTGTACAGAACAGGGTAGCACTGAGTATATTACATGCAGCACAGAATAGTGTAGAGCATATAAAGTACAGCACAGTATACAGAAGAGGGTAGCATTTAGTATATTACATACAGAACAGCATACTGTGCAACATATAATGTACAGTATATTGTACATGGTGGAATATATAAAGTACAACACAGTGTACAGAGCAGGGTAGCGCTGAGTATATTATGTACAGCACAGAATAGTGTGCAACATAATATGTATATTGTACATGGTGGAGTATATAAAGTACAACACAGTGTAAAAAGCAGAGTAGCTCTGAGTTTTACATGCGGCACAGAATAGTGTGGAGCGTATACCGTACAAGGTGGAGTATATAAAGTACAGCAAAATGTACAGGGCAGTGTAGCACTGAGTATGTCACGTACAGCACAGAATAATGTGCAACATATAATGTATATTGTACAAGGTGGAGTATATAAAGTACAACACAGTGTAAAGAGCAGAGTAGCACTGAGTATGTCACGTACAGCACACTATTTTGTACATGGTGAAGTATATATAGTACAAACACAGTGTACGGAGCAGGGTTGCACAGAGTAAATTATGTAAAGCATTGAATAGTGCGGAGCAGTTGGTTTACATTACATCGTACAGGTAGGATGGAATGTATAATATACAGCACTGTCTACAGAGTGGTGTTAAGTATATAACATGCCGTGCAGCATATAATATACAGTAATGTATACAGAGAAGGAATGGTGTAGAATATAGCAAGTATTGTATAAAGATTGAAGTACATAAAGTAGAACACCTTGTACAGGACAGAGTGGTGTGTAATATGTAAAGCCCAGTAAAATGAACAAATGTTGATTACATAGCATAACTCACAGTGTACAGATACAGTGTAATGTAATGCAAAGGTTTTTATATGGAGTGTACAACATAATGTACACAGTGTAGCATATACAACATACAGCACAGGGTACAGAGTGTAACAATGTGGTGGATTTAACAGACAGCACATCTACAGAATCACGTTGTGTGGAGTAAATCTAGTATAGTATTGTGTACAGAGTGGAGCGTTGTAGAGTATATAATGTACAGCACAACATACACACTGTTGTAAGGAAGGGTCTTTTGCTTAGCAGATCCATCATAAACAACAATAGAACTCCTGTCCTGTAACTTACAATAATGCCTCTTCCCAGCTGATTTTTAATATGCTTTTAACGTGTCTTCATACCTTCAAGCAGCCTTTCTCAACCTTTTCACACCAGAGGAACCCTTAAAATAGTTTTCAGTTCTCAGGGAACCCCTGAAATTCATTTATCAGAGGTCAGTGGGAAGAATGCCCCATACATTGCTGGTCAGTAGGTATACAGTTGCAAGAAAAAGTATGTGAACCCCTTGGGATTACTTGGAGTTTTGCATGAATTGGGCATAAAATGTGCTCTGAACGTCATCTAAGTCACAATAATAGAAGAACACAGTCTGCTGAACATAATACTACACAAACATTAGATGTTGCCATGCTTTAATTGCACATAACATGTAAACATTCAGAGTGCAGGGAGGAAAAAGTATGTGAGGCCCTAGCTTAATGACTTCTCCCAGAGCTAATTGGAGCCAGGAGTGAGCCAACCTTGACTCCAATCAGTGTTATGATATTGGATGTGTTGCTGACAGCTGTCCTGCCCTTAAAAAACACACACCTGTTTTGGGTTTACTGGTTTCAAGAAGCACTGTCTGATGTGAACCATGCCTTGCAGAATAGAGCACTCAGAAGACCTACGATCAAGAATTGTTTACTTGCATGAAGCTGGAAAGGGTTACAAAAGTATCTCCAAAACCCTTGATGTTCATGTGTCCACGGTAAGACAGACTGTCTACAAATGGAGAAAGTTTAGCACTGTTGCTACTCTCCCTAGGCGTGGTCGTCCTGTAAAAATGACTGCAAGAGCACAGCGCAGAATGCTGCATGAGGTAAAGAAGAATCCCCGAGTGTCAGCTAAAGACCTACAGAAATCTCTGGCACATGCTAACATTTTTGTTGACACATCTACAATAAGGAAAACATTAAACAAGAATGGAGTACATGGGAGGACACCACGGAGGAAGCCATTGCTGTCCAAAAAGAATATTGCAGCACGTTTGAAGTTTGCAAAAGAGCACCTGGATGTTCCACAGCACTACTGGCAAAATATACTGCGGACAGATGAAACCAAGATTGAGTTGTTTGGGAAGAACACACAACACTATGTGTGGAGAAAAAAAGGCACAGCACACCAACATCAAAACCTCATCCCCACTGTGAAACATGGCGGAGGGAGCATCATGGTTTGGGGCTGCTTTGCTGCCTCCAGGGCCTGGACGGATTGTTGTCATTGATGGGAAAATGAATTCCAGAGTTTATCAAGACATTTTGCAGGAAAACGTACGACCATCTGTCCGCCAACTGAAGCTCCGCAGAGGATGGGTGATGCAACAAGACAATGACCCAAAGCGTACAAGTAATTCAACAAAACAATGGCTGCAACAGCACAGAATACGCCTTCTGGAGTGGCCCAGTCAGAGTCCTGACCTCAACCCCATTGAAATGCTGTGGCATGACCTTAAGAGAGCGATTCACACCAGACATCTCAAGAATATTGCTACACTGAAACAGTTTTGTGAACAGGAGTGGTCCAAAATTACTCCAGATCATTGTTGCAGGTCTGATCTGCAACTACAGGAAACGTTTGGTTGAGGTTATTGCTGCCAAAGGAGGGTCAACCAGTTATTAAGTCCAAAGGTTTCACATACTTTTTCCTCCCTGCACTGTGAATGTTTACATGTTATGTGCAATTAAACCATGGCAACATCTAATGTTTGTGTAGTATTATGTTCAGCAGACTGTGTTCTTCTATTATTGTGACTTAGATGACGTTCAGAGCACATTTTATGCCCAATTCATGCAAAACTCCATGTAATCCCAAGGGGGTTCACATACTTTTTCTTGCAACTGTAATTAAATTCTTACCAATGTCCATTGGTGTTATCCCACTGGTTCTGCCAAGTGACGTTTGACTTCCCATCTCTTGGTTTCTCCTTGAGCTGTGGCTGATTGACCTCCCCTCTCTTGGTTTCTCCTTGAGCTGTGGCTGATTGACCTCCCCTCTCTTGGTTTCTCCTTGAGCTGTGGCTGATTGACCTCCCCTCTCTTGGTTTCTCCTTGAGCTGTGGCTGATAGACCTGGAACCATGGAGAAACCAAGAGATGGGAGGTCAATCAGCCACAGCTCAAGGGGAAAACCAAGAGATGGGAG